GGGGGGGGGGTTACGCAATGAAAAATCACAACCGACACCACGTGCGGGCTTACGTACGTAGCGACGACTACCAAAATATCACGCGCAAAAAATTCCACGAGTTCCACCACCACACCCAGAACATCCCTTACGTCGCACAAACGTCATCGCCTTCTATGCCACAAAATCATACGAACTTCACCCCCCAGGAATCGAAGACATCCTTTCCATCCATCCATCCATCACATCCCAAATGAGCGACACGACACCAACAACAGCACCACCAATAGCAGAAGCAGCAGCAGCAGCAGCAGCATCAGAAGAAGAAGCAGCCACACCCGTACCAGCAGCATCAGAAGAAGAAGCAGCCACAGCCGTACCAGTAGCATCAACGACAGCATACAACAACAGCAACCACCACCAAGAAACACCAAACACCCGCAACGCTCGAAAGCCCACCTGCGTCTTGGGGTGCACGTGCCGCAGAACCGCCACCGCCTTCCACGTCACCGGAGAAACCAGCCGCGCGCACTGGTCGTAGCTGCCGACCGACAGCAGCGTGCCGTCCGGCGACCACGCCATGGACTTGACGCCCAGGGCGTGCGAATACGCCTCCAAGCGCCCCACCAGCTTCCCCGCCAGCGAGTAAAACATCACCCGGTAGCTGGACGCAGATGATGAAACGGCGGTGGGTGGGATACGCGGGTCGTTCCGCCGCGGACACGGGCAGTTCTTTACCGGTCGGTGCGTGAACCACGGTCGGTGCTACACAAATCGGTTATAAAAAATCGAACCCCTGCCTCCGTCCCGGCTTCGTAGGGACGCGAGGTCAATGGTCTAACGACCACGGCATGCACGACTATGAGTACCCCCCCGCTTAGCACTGCGCTCTTGTTGGTTGCTGGGTCACCGTTGTAGACCAGAGGTAGAGTTGCATCGTACCCGTGGAGCAAGCGTAGTAATTTGAGTTCCTACCCTGTTCAGGGGCCGTCACGCCACCGTTCATGCATTCACAGATCAGGTCGCAATCCCCAGACACACCAGGTGTGCCTGTCTCACTCGTCAAGAAAGCGTCTTCTCCGAAACACTTCTAACCGGGGCTAGATACTTGTCCCAACCCTGACTGAATGGCTGACTTGACTCACTCTAGCGACGTGTCCTGCAGGCACAGGGTGAACCCGTCGGGAGAGAAGTCGACGTGCGTGAGGTCCACCGTCTCCGCCGTGAACTCGCCGAGAGACTCCCACGACCTAGTGTCGTACAGCTTCAGGTGGTCTCTTCGCAAAGAAAGAAAGACAAAACATCAGAAAAAGAGCGCCATTAGGAATGGTCCCGAAACATGCTTCAACCAATCGCTTCCAGGTGATGACTCTTCCGGAGCGTGTGCGGAGCATTTTCTTACAGACCGTTTCGGGAAGGGTTCCGTCATATAAAAGTATATTTTTTTGAAAAGCACACTGAAAACGTTTGAAGACTGAGATGTTTTCTGCAACAAATGCCAACCCATGCCATCCTACCATATCCGTGCCACAATCGCATCGACGCCGTGCAAAGGAACCATCGGCTATCGCCAGGGCCACGATTTTCATCCCTGTGACAAGCGTCTCCAAAGCAGACACATTCCGGATATACCCACACAACGAGCGAGCTAAGAATTGTCTCGTTGCGCATGTTCTCACCTGCAATCTCGTCGCGTGGCGACGGCCATGATGAGGGCGTCCGGGCTGAAGGCGATACATCCTGGAGCAGCCTTCGGCTGGCGGACAGTGTGCAACTGCGCGACAAAAACCGAAAAAAAAAAAAAAACGCAGGTACGTACTCCAATTAAGAGAAGGCGGCAACGATGTACGGTGTGCGGAACGGATCGAAACCATTGACATGAATTGATCTCCCATGGGTACGGATACATTGAGATTGGAAACAAGGATTTCGTTGGTAGAGGCCGAGTCGCAAGGGCGCAACACATCCACACCAAAAAAATATTTCAGAGTACCAAAAAAAGAGCCAGACCTCAACAACCCCCACCAGCGAATAACAGAAGGAAGCATTAACCGATGGTAGGCATCCACGGCTCGAGGGTATGCGTGGGCTGAATGGAGTCGGGCAAGAGGGATGGTTGCGACTAGCCTAGGGTGCGCATTTTTCATTGGCTCGCCGAACAATTTTGGAAGGCGTGGAGACTGCTGTACTCGCCAATCAAGCATGTGGCTCTGCGGGGCAAAAGGCGAACAATCCCAAAGCCGACCAATATAAAACCAGGCCGAAAACCACGCCAACAAACGCCTATCCGTCACGCCTACACTCTGGGTTGACGTCAAGGGAAAATACAGCCTTTTGCTGACCCTGTCATCATCCGTGTGTGCTTCTCGCCTCGTGGTCGTTCCCACCCGGTAGGCTACATGCGTACGGGCTGCCAGACTTTCCAGCAAAACCTCCTGCCTAGAGAGGACACAACAACACCACACACAGGAAACGTGAATCAACAATGACAACGACAACGGCACAGGGATATAGGTTCACCTGCCGCGTGGACAGCGACCACACGCTCATGTGCAAGCTGAAGTCGGAAAACGTGACGACGTGCCTAGCGTCGGGAGCCCACAGCGCCTTGACCATCCCCGCCAAGCCCTCGCGTATTCGGCATTGCCAGTCCGGTCTCGCAACCGACATCACCTTCACGGACGCAGGGAAAACGGATCCGGTGCACATGGACAGGAGAATACAGGGAAGAGGGAGTGGGGGGAGAGGGAGTGAGGACACAGCAAGGATTTTCAAACCAGTTCTTCGAGTTGTTGCTCGCCGTATTGTAGAGTGGAAATGTTTCCTGATAAATTTCGTCCCCAACGTGGCGTCGCCATCGCGCATTCTCAAGAACGTGCGGGCTTGTGACACCACGTCTTGGAAACGGGAACCAACAAAAACGAAAAACTCGTAAGCACAACAAAGCCAGACCGTGATGCCCCGGAAGACGACAAAGAGGAAATTTTCACCTGGTGCCCGTGAGGTGCACATCGCAGTTCACACTCCATCGAAAAAAACACCAACGACGACAAGTTTAAGGCAGGGGTGCCCTCATCATCTCCTGCTCGCGGGACGAACATGTTTGCGCGGCTAACACGCCACAGCAGCCGCGGCCTCTCTGACGACCGCGGTGCAAAATTCTGAATGCGTCACACCCTGTACAAATACAAATCAACAAATACAAACGGTATTTGCCCGCGGCCGCAACTTCCCGTTACTTGCTCCCAAACAAGTATTCTTCTGGGAGTGTTTGTCTGGAAAAAAAAAATTGTGCATGATTCTGCCGAGAGAATTTGTCTGGAAGTAAACATTTGCACACCTACATACCTCAACAAGCGAGCGCTTGTACATCGCGCACAGCAGGAGGTCGGAGTCCGACGCCCACTCCAAGGCCTCGATCTTGTCCAGGCAAGGCCGCAGGCCGCCCTGGAAAAGGGAGTAAGCAGCAAGCGAGAGGGCGAAGGGGCGAGGAACCCGCGGGCAGCAGCAGCGTTGGCATCCGCCAACAATGAACACGAGAAAGGGACGAGAAAGAGGGTCATGGAAACCAGCAGCGTGCGATTGCGACAACCAGCCTTGGGGTGTTAGGATGCGTGTGCTTATGGAGAGCTGAAAGGGCTGCATTTTTTCGTGCAGTGCAAGGGGTAGAATCAACACCACCGCCAGACGCATGTATGTGCGCGTGCATAGGTTCCCACTCTGGGAAGAACCCGCAATCTAAGGCCACAGACCTAAAGCGATCTGGATGTGTGTCGGAAACCCACGTGGTAAGTTAGTGGGCAAGAGGGCCGAGCGGTGTACGGTATGCCGATGTGCGGAACAGCCGAGTGATGTTTTGAGATTCACTGTTGAAAAAGTGTTGGACGCACTTGATGAAGGCTAGATCGTCAAGACAAGGTATGCATAGGTTGCATGAGATACCACGCCCCCTGAACCGAGTTTCAAAGCTCGGACTACCTCCACGAAGAAGGATGCCACGAATCAAATTCTACGTTTTCAGACAGCTCTCAACGAGACGCTTCTAACGGCGCTATCCTCGGCACTGCTACTCTAGCTGCAAAGCTAATCGACGTTTGGAAATCGGACGGGCGGGCGGTGTACCTCTAGCCGCGCATGCCGTAGTCGTTAGACCATTGACCTTGCATTCCGTACCAAGCCGGGACGGAGACGGCGGGTTTTCATTAGGGGGGGGGTGGAATCTTCCGCAATAGGCGAATGATGCTGGGAGAGGGACGCACAGAAAGGTGTGCAGAAGCATATGGCGGCACGACCGAGGTCATTCTCGCTGCTGTGGTAGTAGGCTGAAATACTCATGACGTTCCTTGCCAACCGACGTGTTTTCATCTCGAGAGCCCTGCTACACAGCAACAACAGCAGCAGAACACGCCCTTGTCTTTTCAAATCGGTCGTTGAGCATGTTTTTTTTACGTGAATAGTCTACAATGTGAAGACAACAACAACAACATTACACAAGTTTACTTTCAAGGTGTGGTGACACCGCTGCTGACATACTTCCGACCTTTTCTCCCACACCCTGGCACGATGCCCCACCTGCACGATTTCGAAGCCATCCATCGCGTCCCGCACCATCAGCCTCTTCCCCACAGCCATAGCCACGTACCGACCGTCAGGGCTCCATTGCACAAGGCCGGAGCTCTGATCGTACATGGAACTGAAGTGCGCGCTCATGGTGTGCGTGCGAAAGGATCTAACGCCACAAGCAAGCGATTTTTTTGCCCAGACGTGCCCTTCCTCCGTTGCCTCCTCCCCTTTTCTGTGTGCGCGCCTTGGAAAAGATGGAGATAACAAGCTTTGTCTCTCCCCCACATAAAGGCTGCAAGCTGTATTGGTGGAAAGCCTGTGCTCCTGTTAAACGCCGCCCGTTAGGGAATACCTGGAAACTTTTTTTTTTAACCGAGCTGTGTTTGGTAATCCCGCCCGGCCACGGCGCCACAGCAGGCCGTGCCGATCACCAGCGAACCGCCACCCCACCCTCCGGAGGTGCTTCTTCCTCCACGCAAGTGCTAGCCTGCTGCTCAGTGTTCCTTACTTCACCGCACGCTGCACTCTGGCACTGCTGTGCACCTCTCTTCTCTGGTCTGGTGGTGGGTTGATGATCTGCTCCCCTCCCTCGGTTGCCTAGCACGAATCCACGGAGCCCCCGCCTCGAATTGGGGTAGTGACCCAGCTACCCAGGTCATGCAGCCCACGTGCATCCTCTCTGCTGCTGGTGTCCACCGTGTGTCCCCGTTGCCAGTCCTAACGGCGTCGTGTGTCGCTCTCTTCATCTCCCAAGGTCTACTGCTTGTCTTCCAGTTTGTCCATCCACTGCGGGCATTTTGAAAACGGGCCCGCTACTGCTGGGAGAGACAGCAGTAGCGGTCGTTTGGATTTTCAAACCAAGGTTGGAGCGCTTCGACGGTTTACCCACTGCTGTCTGTTGAGGGGAGCAGCCGGCATGGAACAAGATCGGCGTTCGTCGGGGCCGAATGAGGAAGCCCGGCTGATGATCAGAATGCGGCAGGTCAGTGACTCGAGTAGGAGGAGACAGCGAAGAGGTACAGTTTTAATCCACAATTTCAGTATCTGTACTCCTGTAGACAGAGACGGAGAGCGAGCGAGAGATGTTATTATAGAAAGGCTTACCCATTGGACTATTCAGTCAGCGCTGACTCTAGTCTAATGGGTAAGCCTTTCTAACAAGAGAGAGAGAGAGAGAGAGAGTGCGTACCGTACGCGGTGTAGGCATTTGGAAGGGTGTTACGTGTAGTCTTGCCGGTTGCTCTCCGGACGTGCAACACGCCCGCCCTGAAGTAGTCCGTAGTCCGGGGTATGTACATTCGATTGCTGTAATCCAAACTTTTCGAAACCGCGGCTAAACGAAGCGTGCACGTAGTATTACTGCTGTAGTCCCGCGGCACAGGACCGGGATCTACGGTAAGTTCATGAACAAGTGCACAGGCGTGTAACCCCTCCTGGTCTACTGCTGTCTGGCTCAACATAACGTTACCTTTGCGCCACCTACACCTGCTGCCGCCCGCCCCCACCCTGCTGTTCAATTCAACCCACAGGCGGTCACATAAACTCAGTGATGTACATCAGGGCGAATATTAACGAAGAGCCAAAAATCAAAATCCAAATGGGCACAATATCAAAATCAAAGTGCGTTATCGTGGAACTGAAAAAAGCAGGGATGTCGGTTACGGCACATCGAACAGATTACTTACGCGTAATTGCCTCTTTTTGACGAATGGAATTACTTACGTCAGTTACGGCAACAGCGGGGGCCCCGAACCACCAGGGGGGCCCGTCGAATCACCCGGGGGGGTCGTAGAATCACCAGGGGGTGCCGTCGAATCACCAGGGGGGTATAGGACTAGCAGGGGGGGCCGTGCATGCTATATCCCCGATTTTCTCGCCCAACACAGCCCCCAACCCGTGCTTCGTGTGTCCAACGAACCACCACGAGATTTCGAGCGCACTTTGGCGCGGGTGTGTTATGTGTTGTGTATTATTCCGTGTTTCTTGTACTGATACTATCAGTTGTACGTATATCTTGTTTCAAAGCTCAAAACATTAATGTCCGTCTTGCTGATGTCTGTCCGAAGTTCGAAGTACACGGCATGACAGAAATCAGACAGTACCCGCTCGTGCGGCGGCGTTCAGCCGAGAGCACAAGAACACAAGGGAGCACCAACACACAGAAGAAAATCTCGATAATCTCAACCAAGCGCCAAGCCCGCTCCGGCTCCCAATATCCGGCATCGTCCAACCTTGAGAATGTGCATGTCTCCCAACTCCCAACTCCCAACGGCGACAGCACTCTTCCGCAGACAAAAGTTGTACTGTTGTTTTTTTAATTTCGAGCTGGCATCGCCGATCTCTACTTCATTTCAAATTTCAAATCACAAGAACTCCAAGTCGGAGTCCTCGTCCCCCGACTTGTCCTCAAGCTCATCCCCGCTGCCCAAGTACCCATCCGACTCTACTTACCCCCCTTGAGTTACGTGGAAAAAAAAAATTACTGACGGCCGAACTTTGTTACGTGTAATTACGGTAGCGCGGTAACCGACATCCCTGGAAAAAAGAGGGTCGACCATGTTTTATAACGAGGATAGGAGACAGATGAGGCAAAAAATCAAAAAGACCTGTCGTCAGGGGAAGAGCCAGCAGCGCAGCGGGATTTTTGTAGGTGCGTTTTGCGCTCTTCTGTTCACGTGTTAGCCGATATCTCGCCAAATACTCAACAAGTTGCCTCAAGAACGGTATGCGGAAGGAGCTGGTACCATGGGCTGTTGGGCAATGCCAAGGTTTGGCGCCATGAGGTGCCGAATGCGCCGGAAAAAAAAGGTTGTGTTTGAAGCAAAAATGCCAACGGTTGCGAGCGGTCAATTCAAGTTCGGTGTTTTGGGCCGCCACGGGTTATGATATCCACCGATAACTTTCCGACGGAGGAAGCAACAGCAACAGCAACGCCATGTGGCGGGAGATACCTCTCTGCTCCATCTTTCAAGCCCAAGGTCTGCTACCGTGGGGTGTCGTGCGTGCAGGGAAAAAAGTTTTGGTTGACCCTAAAAAATCCACGTCAGAGAGCGGCTAGTTCAAGTTCGCGCCGAACGTCTGCTCACAGTTTAGTTTTTCAACGATAATTTTCCGAAGGAGGAAGCAACAGCATTAGCAATGCCACGCGACGGGAGGTAGCTTTAGCCACCATCTGTCTCGTACAAGGTTAGATGCCTTGGGGTATCGTGGGTGTGGAGAAAAACGGTTGCAACTACCCTCTCCCGCACGGAGCAGCCCGAAAAAGCCGCGCAGCCCTGTTCTGATCGTAGTCCGTTCACCGCTTGTCACGATCGGCATTTTCTCCTCGAGCACCCAACGTGCCGGCCCGTTTTTGGGCTTGCCGGCGAGCATAGTCTTCTGGCTACAAATAATGGCCATGGTCTCGGTGGTAGGGTGCCGATAGCCCCGCTATGAGCAGTGTGCAGCAGGTCGTGTCGTACACTTGCTTTGCAGCGGCCTCGCGGCAGGTGCTCCAAGCCTTCGAAGTCTTGAACTCCTTGCCTCTTTGATTTTGATTTTGATAAAAAAAGTCCCAGACAGAGGAACTTCCATAAAATCAAAGGGCGTCGTCAGGACGTAGCAGATATTCGACCAATCAGATCTCGATTTTGATTTTGATTTTCTCGATTTTGATTTTTGGCACTTCGTTAATATACGGCCTTACCCTTTACCGGTAATTAAAACGTAAAGGGTAGGTGGGGTCGGTAAAGTCAATTTTTTGCGGTAAACCTCGCCCGCCCCCCCCTCCCACTTGCGGCCCCCCCTCAGCCGTTGTCTTGCTGGGGCAGCTGCTGTAGCTCTCCACACAGAGTCCCTCCCGAGCTGTAGCAGACCACGTACACTCTGACACACGGGCACTGAAAGACCACCATGGTTTCTTGGGGCGCGCTTTCGAGGAGACCCATGGTGGAGAAACCTGCTGATGGTCTCGTTGACAGATTCTGTGGCTCGTGTATGGATACGTCTCTTTGTCTATCCAGTAATTCTTCGGGGAGGAGATGAAGAGGCCATGCATGCACGGGAACGTGATAAACTTTGAAGAAAAATCATCCTTCATCTTGAACTTTGATTATTGAAATTTATGTTTCCTTTCCTTCTACTGATAGATTGATAATGTAGTGCTGTCAAGATGTGGAGCTGTAGACGAGAGGGATGAGCCGCACGAGCAGCCCTCCCTGCATCCTGCCCACCCACACACACACCAACTAACATGTCTATGACACACAACGCCCTGTTGCCATAGATGTTTCCAAAGCGAAAAGCTGTACAGAACGCGCCACCACTTAAGAACTTACCAGGAGTTAAGACTTGAGCCTCAAACAATCCAAAATAAAATAAATTGACCATAAGAACATGTGCTCAGTTCCGGCGTGGCATTAAGAACAAGAACCCGCCCTCATGGTGCACCAATGCGCATGTAGATAAGAACGGAGCCCCGAAACGCGGCGGCTGCAAGATAATACCCAAACAACAGTTTGTTTCAGATTCGAAGCGCGGGGGGGGGAGAGTACCTCGTGATAAAATGACTGTACGCGCGGAGGGGGCGGGCGTACTCTCTGTCATGTTTCGCATGCCTTAGAGGTTAGACCATTGACCACACGTCCTCGAGAGGACGCATAATTGTGCCCACAGGACCGATCACCGTTGGTCAATCGTTCCTTCCTATATACTCCGAAGTACTTTGCCAAAGGTGGCTCAATAATATCTTCCCTAGTCTATCTATCCTATCGATACCACTTCCCGCAACCCACTTGCTATGCCCCAGTACAGCTACCGTCTTCTCCTGGCTATTCCATGCCTCGAGCACATCCCTGTACCTTTCCTTCTGCTACGTGTCCAACTCGGGCACGTACATTTCTCTGCCCTTGTCGCCCAACACGGACGTTTCGCAACCAGTTCGGTTGGAAGCAACCAATAAGCGTCTAGCCTCAAGTTAAATAAGCGGTTCTTTAAGTGGTGGCGCGTTCTGTACTGTAGTCATCACGTCAACACCAGGTATTTTTCAGTATACTGCTTGCTGTTCACTTAGGCCACAATGAATGTTGTCTATCGAATACACGAAGAAGGTGCCAGAACGCCAACCATGTGGGGTCACAGCGTCAAAGCATGAAAAACAACAGTGTTATGGGGTGGTGTACCAGCGCTCCGAGCAGCACACAGCACCATGAACAAAACAACCTGGAAACCCCGGGGACAGTCGATTTTCATCCCCGCTTTTGGCGGAAATTACCGGTCGGTAAAGCCGATTGCTGATCTCGGTTAGCGGTCGGTAAAGAGGTCTGACCCGGGTAATGTACATCACTGCATAAACTGACATACCGCCCCCGGCTAGCCCGCGGAGCCCCTCCTCTCCGACGCAAACCAACCCAACCAACCGCCCTCCCGCGATGTGACCTATGATCTCCTGAACGTCGCACGGGCGAAACGGTCGGTACATCAACGATTTAACAAAACCAATCGTACAATGATGCTGAATGCCAATCGAAAACCACACGCAGGCGCACTCCATGGCCTTGCAAAGATCGGCGGACAAGTTGACGTCCCACGTCCTGCTGAAGCGAGTCCGGCCTATCCAAGGAAAGCTTGGGGATGCGGATCCGGCCGCACTCGCCGCGGAGGTGGTTGCGCAAGTCATAGAGAAGTCGGAGGTGTGTATGTGCGTGTGTGTGTCTTTTTTCTTTATTATTAGCGTCGACCGTGCTTACCGGCTAACCAATGAAAGACGTCAGTAGTGTGGTGGAGAACACGAAATGCTTGTGAAGGCTGCAAGGATCTGGGACCCCGTGAAGGGGTAGGCTCTGTGGCTATGTGTTTTGTGTGCGTTGAATTAGCATTGACCGGGGTAACGAGCTGACAAAACGGAAAACGCTTGTCCAATAAGCGGGATACCTGCAAAACGCCAACACGCGTTCTAATGAAAGGGTAATGCCGACAGGGGGGGCACGGGAGTTGGTCGACGACAGTGTCCTGCTTCTAAAGTACAAGGACAAGCCTCAATGCCACCGAGCAGTGTGCGTGCATGTGTGTGTGTTTCCAGGCCCCGCATACAGGGGGGGGCGTCCTGTCGTCGTTGTTGCGTGTACAAGTTTTATTTGTCTCGGAGTGCCTTGTCGTTAAAGGATGACCCCCCCCCCCCGCGCGCGCGCCTTTTTAGTGAGGAAGCGTTTGCAACGGTGGTCCCGCCGCTGTGTGGATCTTCTTCTCCCGCCCTTCTTGGAAAATTCTAAATATTCGTTCCCAGCATCTGCGGCTGAACTTAATTTACCGGTTTTCTGAAGAGATTTTAAAGAATCTCCCGGTATCTGCGGCTGAATGTGTGTGTGTTTATCCCGCCATTTCCAGGAGTCGTTTGAGAAGCTATGCCAGCGGATCCGGGTAAACGAGAAGTTTCTCGCGTTGGAGAGGGCAAGAGAGGAGCACCTGGAGTTGCAGCAGCGGCGGGCTGATCAGCTCAGACGACAGCAAAACGACAACCTCAGGTGATTGATTCACTGGTAGACAGACAATACAGGGCCAAATGCTGTGATACCCTGGGGCCAAATGAACTCCTCTGTCGGACGCACAGATGCTAAACGCAAGCGATAAAGCTGCAGCATTGGGCACGGGGTGGCGTTTCGCGCCCCGTCGCCGCGTGCCCTCTGTCAACCTTTCCGCATTGGCCACGCATGTAGACCCCCGCTGCCGCCTTGTACCGAAGCGAAAAACAATCGCGCCGCGGTGTCTTTCTCTGCCCAGACAGCAGCGAGGCGGAGACTTCCAAATCAGGCCGCTCGAATAGCCAATGGCGACGAACAACCTGCCCACCGATTCGCCCCACATCTGCGTGCCCCCCCCCCCCCACAACGAACGCAGCGATCTGATCGGGGAAACTACCCCGCTGCCCGGGGGCCGGGATCCCGCGGAGCTCGTCCGAGAGTCTACGATGACCCTCAAGCGGGCGGAGAGCGCGCGGCTGCTGGTGCTGGCAGAGGAGGCGGAGAGATCGGCGGACGCGGAGGCGGCCAAGGTGGCGGCGGTGGCTGCCGAGCTGGAGGAGTGGCTGGGGCGGGTGGCTGGGACGAAACAAGCGCTCGCAGAAGTGAGAGAACGCGACGAGTCTTTTTTTGGGGGGGGTTGAGGGGTTGCTGGTAAGAAAACCCGGGGCGCTGGAGAACGGAAGTGTGTTTTGGTGTGTTGCTTTGTATTGCAGTTACCGCGCGCGCGAACAGGCTGGCCAATGAAAGAGGTTAGTCTTCCAGTGGAAAAAAGAGTGGTACACGATAGATACAAACCTCCAGACACTAAGTTTTATTTCCGGGAATGAGCAGACGATAAATAACACTTCGTGTTTTGGATAGGTTGGGTGTGTTTTCTTTTTGAGATTTGTCAATTTTCAGTTTTTGGGACGCAAAATGTCGAGTCAGCAGGTTCCCTCGATAGTTTTTTTATAGTGAATATTTTTGTTGTTGATAATTTTATGTTGGGGTTTTCGCCCGGAGGTGCAGATGCCAAAGCCGTTCAGCGGTTTCACTCTTCACACTGCTGCCCCCAAAATCGAACTGTGTATATCGATCAAACATTTATCCGTTCCACGGGAAAGGGGCAATGTGATCTCGTGTTAGATGTCACGCCTAAGGTGTGCCGTCTCGCGCGTGCGCGAAAACACTCAAGGAAGCTAGGTGTCGTCGTCAAGTAGCCCTGGCCTACCCGGTCGCCATGGGGCTCGCATTCAATTTGGTGACGACAGGTCACAATCGCCCGCTGCCGTGCTGTGGCATAAGCATGGCACAGAGGCGGCTGCTACAGTGCGGAGCTCAAGCTGACAACCAAATTATTCCCCCTCCCGTCCCCCTTCCCATGCCAAACAGGCCTGCAGCTCCTTGCGTTGACCCAGTAAAGACGAGCGGCTTGGGTGTTTCGCGTTTCGCCCCCCCGGCGTGATGCGGCTCCTTGATTAATCGCGGAGCGGAACCGAAAAAAATACTTCTAATCGGACAAGAGAGTAAGGGGGAGAAAGAGAGAGAGAGGGGGGGCGGACGCAGAGAGAAAAACCGATGATTTTTTTCTTTGGCGAGAAACGGACACACCAAAACGGGGATGAGTGTTTCGGCGCGACGCCCTCTCTCTCTCTCTCTCTCTATCAGTAGGTAATAATGGTCTCGGTCTCTGTAGGTAGGGTAGTATGGTCTCGTTGCGCTTGGTTAAAATCGCGGTTTCCGCGAAATGGGGCAGTCCTTCTGGTTTGGTGGCATCCAGAATCCCGCGAGTGCTCCTAAATCGAATGAAATCGGGTTGAAATCGGGTGTTCTAGTTCTGTTTCGAATTGTACATGGCGCCCCCTCGGAAAGAGCTACCTCCTGGGAGAGGGTCCAGACATGGGCAATCTGTATCATAGGAATGTTGTTCGTCCGCCTTGAAAAACGTGGGCCGGCGGGCGCCCGCGTTGCTCGCGGAATGCATGGAATTGACCTGTTAACACGGGGTGGACATAGAATTCGTTTTTTTGTTAACGTGCTGCACACCCCTGTGTTATGTGCGGTAGTTGAGAGAATGATGCCATTTTTTTCTTATCGAGTGCTGTTTTTTTTTTTCGGCCTTCGTCTTCATTCCTTCCTTATCCTGGACAGACTCAGCATGTTTGATGTGCGTGTTGGTTGCAGCAGTCAATGGCCGTGTGGCCCATGTCCAGTTAATCTCCCAAGAAGTTGTGTTGCTTGATAGGTATTGGCAGGCCTCTCTAGGTCTAAGGGCTTCTAATTTCACCACAAATCTGAGATGCGACAACAATACTGAACACTGGGCAACAGGGAGTGGAGGCGACGATAAGAAAAAACTGCGTTCCCGGCGATACCACACGACCCCCGTGAAACAATTCTACGGCACTCTCGTGCTGGAGAAGAATACATGCGCAGATAGTTCGAAGCCCCCTCGCCCGCTTTCAAGGGTGACGACGTCCGACAACGCTGCTGCTGCCGCTGCTGGTCTCTCGAGTGGTAATGGTCCTCGCGGTACTAGACCCGCCGAAGAACAACGCCCCCCGGTTGCGTAAACGCCCGTCAGGCTGCGATCCTCCCGCCCCAGCCGTGACGTCCCAACCCGGGTGTTTGCGCAGCAGAGCGTCTGGGGTGTGCAGGACGTCCACAAGCGTGGATTCGTTCCACTCGCTTCTCCTTCCGGCGGGGCTGCCGGTAGTCGTTGCTCTCCTCCTCGGGTTGTTTGCCGTTGACTTGTCGTTCGTTGCTGCCTTCGCCTGCCCTTGGTGGTGGTGCATGCTGATCGGAGACCGGTCGTGGCAGGAGGAAGGCACTCTAGTGTCACTCCCAGCGGGGTCCGGAGTGAATAAAAGTTTCGCACTGGTTCCGGTTGTCGGGCGAGAGGATGGTCGCTTTCCTCTCTGGCTGTAAACCGCCTGCGCTGGGGTGGCGTCGCCGGCCGCTCGGGTTTCATCTATTACCTGGTGGAACATTCTGTAGTTTGGCAAAGGGAAAGAGACGGTGCTATAGTACGTGTGCCTACAATAGGGGCGCTTGCCTTGCTGAAGTTCTGTTGTGTGCGCTGCATTAAATGGACAACTTCACAAGGCTGGAGTGATTTCTCCCTTGCGAGCGCATCCAAAGTGGCATCGGCGTGAGGTGCTAATACTTTTGACGGCAACTCATAACCACAAGAAATATTCTCGCCGCGTGTCACCCACCCTGGGGTTGCAAAGGTGTTCACTCGTTGAGCAGATGCTCGTCAGAAGTATGTAGTCTCATAGTTAATTGCCGTACGTCGCCTTGAACAGCATACCAGGTAAGCCGTCAACACGTTTCGGAGGTGGAATCATCCCGGGGTACTACTGTAGCATGGGAAGGAAGCCACTGGGAACACCATCTCCTCAGAAGACATGCATAGCATACAGCCCTTGGTATGACCATGAGTTTGTAAGAGCTGACTGAATGTATTACGATGGTGTTTGGCTTGGCAGACGCAACAAGCGTACAGGTATCACCTTGTCGCCTGCTCCATGTCCTTGTCGATAAGCCCCAGGGCTAAGTCATCACAACTGCTGGAATTGTTCCATGTGCCGTACCAGGAGCCCTCCTCCTCCTCCTCTCCCCCCTCTTCCTTCTTGCGGCGGCCGCTCGCTGCCCGTGGTTCCGGTTTCTTTCTCGTAAGCAGGCGGTGCAAAATCAACATGCCAGTGATTGGGTGTATTGAAAACAAGTCTTCGTTCTTCTCTCGAGGTGTCCAATCGGAAACAACATCGATTCTGTCTCGAGTCAAAAGGGCAGGCATGAGAACCTGTGGATCTTTCGAGACTGCGGGTGGAAGGACACATCTGCCGCACTCCTGGGCATATGGGGATTCGTAGGATGTGAGTAATTTGGCCGGGGTTCCATACGGCAGCCCCCGAAATCCAATACGTTCGTGGATGCCGTATAGGTGTCGACTATACGTTCGTGGATGCCGTATAGGTGTCGACTACAACGTCCGGGCCCACGCGTTCACAAAACGCAAAATGAATCACCTTCTTGGTTGTATTTGGCGGTACGTTGGTTTTGCCAAGCGGTAGAGGTCGCCGCCCGGGCGAAACGCTACCCCTCCAGCACGCCGGGACTACATTTCCTCTAGTTTTGCGATTTCCGGCGATCCCATGGACCTCGCTGACCCGTGCGTCGACGTTGTTCCGGGGGTCTTTGATTACCTCTCGTGGCACTGACGGTGTCACCGGGGATACCAGCTTTCGTCTTCCATCGCCGCTTGCTCGTGTTGCGGAGGAGGCCGATGTCGTCATGGTCGCTCCCGCAGACTGTGGCCGCCGCCGCCGGCTGTCAATCGCTGGAGTCAGCGTCGTTCCACGCGCTCTCTGAATCTCTTCCCGACAATTTGGTTGACCTTTGAGTAGGTCTCCCGTGACAGTCGGTGGTGGTGGGTTCCCGCTCGGAATCGGGTGAGCGGTGCTCTTGCCAGCGATACCGTTGCTTTCCCTGCTACGAGGAGTACGCTCACTCGGGCGCTTGCCGTCGTCTGGGGCCGTTCGTTTGCTAATTTGTGCCCCACCTCCTCCTCCTCCTCCCGCATCTCCTTCCCCACGTTCATCTCTTCTGTCCCGCGTTTGTTTGTCAAGGAAACGTTTTCTCGCTTTGTGTCCGGCGGACTTGGATTCGCCGGTGTGTTGTCTGTCCGTAGCAGGTGCCACAGCGTGAGGTGGAGGCATGGTCATCAACGCTCGCTTCGCTGCGTTCGCGAGGTAATTGCCCATGCAGAGATATGCACGCTTACGCACACGATCGCAATTCTGCTGAGAGCACCGGGCTAAAGTTTCTGTAGAAACTCCAACACCAAGTACCACCCTTTCGCGCCAATGCATGTCGAGGGTATCACATGCGAAGGCGAGGACAAAGCCTAAGTCCCTACAATAGTCGGTGTTATGTGTACTCACTTACGGTTGGCTAGTTCCCTTCCCCCATGTGCGACTTTTTCGCCCACTGGTGCCCTTGTTGTTGGAATGCTGATCTTTGACAGGGTGATCTTTAACCTGAAAATATTTGTGCCGTTCATCAGATGTTACATTTGAACCAGGCATTCGTGTTGAACTTCACGTTTCTGTTGGAATACGACGTAAGAACAGAGTGGTCGGAAGCTTTCTCTTGGTACTTTGTGAACCAATTGCACCCAAAGTGTCTTGTTCTGGTCGAAGTATGATAGTATTGACCCCTCCTCCCACGGAATCGTTCGGCGCGAACCTCTACTTGTATCTGCTCCACGGTAATGGAATGTGGCCTTGTTTAGGATACATGAATCTCGGCTATGTTTCGCGTCGGAGAATCACAGAGACCACCACTACTTGCCGCGGTCCCGATTTTCTATGAGTTTCTCAAATCGTCTTGTGTTGGAAAACACAGACATGTCCCCGTTCATGTACGCTGACGTGAGCTTAAAGGCTCGTCCTGGATCTCCCGTTCAGAGTGGTAGAGTGGTGGTCGAGCGTTGACAGAAGCCAAGGCGGATTTGGATGTACGTGCGCTGTACGGCCGTGCAAAGTTGTTGCAGTCACGGCATGCTACAATTGTATCTTTTCTGCTAGTTCATATGTATTCACAGCTGCAACGCCGGCAAAATCGCGGACCCCGTGAAATAAGGAAAATATAGACATACAACAAATGTGCCGGACCGGTGCGCGTACACCAGGACTGGGGCCTTTGCTTGCGTCCACCATTTCAACAGTTTTTGGGTCGAAGTCGGAGGTATAGACGCGAAACAAACGCAACTATGTAGCAGTTTGAGGGTCGGGCTACTCCACCACGCTAGGCCTAGCTACATGCTGTACCTACCGTGACCAAGGCTACCGCTAGCCCAGCTTGGTTGGTGTGCAGTGGGTCGCTCTACTGATCCACAGGAGCGTGTTTTGCGCGCAGCAGTCCTGGTGTACGCACCCGCGCGCTGAAATAACTATTGGCCTTTTGGGTCTACAGGCATCCTGGCAGATCATTGCTTGATCTTTTGCAAATGCTGGTGTTGTGACATGCCATGGAGTTGCCGCCCTGTGTCCCTCCACGCCAGGTGTTGACAAGTCAATAGGTAGGTGTGTCTATATTATTCACATCGACCGCGTACCCGTTGACCAATGAAAAGACGTTCGTAGTGCCAGCGGGAAATATCAAGGTCGTCCCTGGAACGGCCAAAACTCGAAAAATGCACACTGTTCTAAATGCGAATGCCATAATGAATCTCTCCCCATATCCATTCATAGAGACACACATAAATAGTTCCACATACATGCCCTCTCCCGAATCTAGGAAGTACAGGAAAGACAGGAGGACAGCGAAAAGGGGCACTTCAAGCCCAACCAGGCCAGGATATCGTGGTATGCTGCATATCCTCCAAATTTGAAAATCGTACACTC